CAGGTTTAGTTTCTAAATATGCGTATTTATGACCCCTTATCGAGTTATTGACTCTTGCTTTGCCAAAAATTGATTTCAGCCAACACCAATGAGCCAAAAGTTGACGAGTTTTTATGGTGTTGGCTGAAATCATGATTAGGTATGAATTCTTTGCACATAATATCTGGATTATGGACGAAACTGGAACGAAGTTTTTTTCTGATCAACTAAATATATTTTTTCTAGTCAAGGATACATTTTTTCATGTTTAAGACGAATTTTTTATCGCAAAGATATATTTTTCAAGTCAAGGATATATATTTTTATGTCAATGAAATATTTTTCTTCACGTCAGTGATAGATTTTTTAAGCCAAGAGTATATTTTTTCAAGTTAAGTATATGATTTTTTGAGTTGTTAAGAAATGAGTGAATATCATATTTTTTATTACATTTTTCTTATTTTTAACTGTAAAGTGTTGTTTTTTTCATTTTTAAACGAAAAATATGCATTTGTGGTAAAGGGACCAAGGGTGGGCGCCTTGCCCCAAGCCCATGAGCCCATTGCCCCAGGGGTGGGGCAATGGGCCCATTTTGACACTTTTTACAAAATAGTGTTTCATTAAAAATTGAATAAACATATAGGCGTCTAATTCACATCATACATTCTTCATTAGTTGTACCTTTAAACAAAACGAAGAACCACCTCGTATCAATTGAAACTTCATCAAAAATTTAGTTTAAAAAAAGGGGGGGGCGCGCTGCCTCATGTTGCCCTACTTTGGATCGATCGATGCATTCTGGTAAGGTTGCTACTCGAGTTGCTATTTAGTCCTACTGGCTTGTTAACGTTACCTGACGCAAGGCTGTGCGAAGTAAGAGCGGTGCCAATCTATAATATGATGATGCCTACTGTGCCTTCACTGCATCTCGAGTGGCTATCGAAAATTTCCTCTCACAGGATTACGCTTTTTTAGAAAGGAATGCTAACAATGACTAAGTCGTTAGTTCATATACATTTACTGCCATTAATTTTTTCTTGGAATTAATATTTTGTGTCATAATTAATTCATTTGTATTGATTTGTTTTCAAGAGCTTTAAGTATTAGGCCTTCTCAAATTCACGGCTCTTGGAAGATTTCACTTGAAGCCCATCACAGTTTCTGACTACGATTCGTTTAATGTTGAACGTAGGTACGATCACATGCTCACCAAGTTTCTCTTGTTAGCTCATTTTCTCATTTATGGAGAAAAATGCGCTATTGTGCTCGCCATGTCCGTCCGTCCGTCTGTCTGTCCGTCCGTGACTTCACGTTTTCGTCGACGAGAAAATGCGCTCTCTGTCACTCACTGCAGTGAGTACTGAGTTATATTTTTTTACTCTAGCGGCCGATGTAAATGTAAGCGGTACTCGTACCTGGAAATTACCTCCATTGGAAATTGTGAACCCAGCTTCATATTTGCCGGCTTCAGTACGCTGACCATTTGGATCATCATGTACGTGGGTGACCTCAGGGTCTTATCTTCTCGTCCCCTCAGGGGGGACTTCTGACGTGTGTCTGTACTCGTCAGAAGTCCTATGGGATTTTACGCTCCTAGGGGGATTGTTAATTCTGAGCGCCCCACTGCTGAGCTCGCGGTGTCTGACTGTAGGTCTCAGTTGTGGGGTTAGGTTATTATGTAGGCAGGTTTCCTTACATTTCCCTTCTCTGTCTCTCTCGTGCGGGTGGCCGACGTCCCGTGTAAGCGACCTCTTGTTCGAGTGTCTTCGTTTCTGATGCTTTTCACCTGTCCCTCCTTGTCACTTCATCTCTTTGAGATGCTAACGCTGTTTCCTTCGAGCCAGCTTCAGCGGGCTGGGCAATTGAGACCTTCCGCCCCTTAAGGCGGACGATTAATTTGATATTGATATTGATGAGAGATAATCAATATCTCAATTATTCAATTGAGATATTGAATAATTGAGACCTTCCGTCTCGCTGGCGATGTAAAATTTTGACCTCCGGTGCGAAATAGCTTGATAGCTGAAGCGCTAGCAAACCCTTCTACTACTACTTATCTTCTCGTTTATCTCGATCTCGCGATCGAAGTTTATTAAGAAATTTGTTTATGTCGATGAAATTCGTTAGTTGTCAATGTTTGTGAGAAATTTGGTAATTGAGTACGAGAAAATTGTTACTTTTTCACGTTCAGTGCGATCTGATAAGTGGCAGCTGCGTTATGCAGACAAATGCAAAGTAATCCACCCTGGCAAGAATAATGAACAGCAAGATTGCAGTATGAGAAGACACGGTTGCAACGACAGAGTTATGATGTCGAAGTCGACAAAGAAAAAAGATTTAGGAGCTAATGTTGACAATGAGTTGAACCATTAGGTTTTTGTCTACTAATACCTAATACTAAAGAATGATTCTGAAATGCTTTGTGTAGCGGTCAATGAAGAATAAATAGTTAAAATAACTTGTGTCGCGAAAATGTTAGAAAATGTTGTCGCGCTAGAAAAAGTCACTCGTGTTACTATCCTCATGTGTGTTAAAATTTTTGTTCGTGATATAAGTGGTAACACAAAGTTTACAAAATTTATCTTGCTGTCCGTTAATTGAAAGTAATTAGCCAGAATACCATTCCAAATTTCAGACTTGTATCTTATTTAGGAGGAGAGTTATTGGTTGCCTTCATTGTTGAGAACCATCATAGGGATTAACACCAGCTGGCCGCCTTGATGTTCCCTCTTAAAACCGAACAGCGCCGAGAAATCTGAGTAGCATGCATCATGTGAAACGGGTTGCTCGACAGTGAGATTAGTATGGCAGTTATCCCGGCCATTCATGTTACAAAGCGATGAGGTGGCGAACCCCACAATTTTTAGTTTATTTCTTCGCCAGCTGCAATATTTTCGATACATTAAAGTGAACACAATATTAATATTTGTAAGTACAAATTTATTTCATTTTCCTTTTTTTGCTGTTAAAAAATTTCGTAATGCTTGCTTTCCTCGAGCACAAAATTTCTATCTCAGCTCATTAAGGGGTAGAAAATCGCGCACTGGTACCCAGAATGCAAATATATTTGGCAATGGGAAAGCTTGGGCTACAATATCAAGAATTTTTTTTGCATATTCTTCTATTTCGAAGAATTTTATTTTTATTTGGCTCCCTTGAAAATTTTCAAACATTCAAAAAACGTATCTTAAGAACTTAATAACTCCAACAGTTTTTAAGCTACAGCAATGAAAGATATACCCTTCGATTCCTAAAGACCATACCTAGCGACTCTATAAGCCCTTTTTTTCAATTTGTGCATGGTTTGAATTATTTATGAGGGGGGGGATGTGGAAAATTGAGAAATACGCGCATAAAAGAAAAATGATGAGGTAAATAAAAAATCGAGGCTCTAGAATCGCTAGATATTGTTGTTACGAATCGAATTGGAGTACGTTTCCCTGAGGGAAACGTACTCCAATGGATCAGAGATTTTCTAGTAGTTAGACGACAACGTGTCAGTATTAACGGAACCGTGTCAGACTGGGCATCAGTGCGCAGTGGCGTGCCACAAGGAAGCGTCCTGGGGCCTATTTTGTTCGTTGCTTTTATAAATGATCTGCCAGAAGTAGTGTCCAGCGTGTGCTCCATGTATGCCGACGACACAAAAGTTTATAATACAGTGAAGAATGCGTCAAATAAAGCGCAATTGCAAGATGATCTTGACAGCTTAGTTAACTGGGCTGATACGTGGCAGCTGCGGTTTAATGCTGACAAGTGTAAAGTACTTCACCTCGGGAAGAACAATGAACAGCAAGATTACAGTATGAGAAGACATGGTTGCAACGAGAGAGTAATGATTGAAAAGTCTAGTGTGGAAAAAGATCTCGGAGTTTATGTCGACAAGGAGCTGAAATTTTCTAAGCATGTTGAAACGCAAGCTAACACATCCAACAAACTTCTTGGACTAATCAGACGCTCATACGAGTTCCTAGATGCAGAAACGATGAAGCAGTTGTTTGTTGCCGTCGTACGCCCGAGTCTAGAGTTTGGAAACGTTGTGTGGTCACCGAGATTCGAAAAGGACAGAAATTTAATAGAGAATGTTCAAAGACGTGCAACAAGGATAATTCCAGGCTTGAAGGGCAAGTCCTATGAAGAAAGATTGAAGATTATGAAGCTTCCAAGCCTCAGTTATCGACGTCTGCGTGGGGACCTCATTGAAGTATACAAGTATACTCATGGTCTATACAAGGTCCCTGAAGGGTTACTAGAATTTGAAACAAGAACCAACACCAGGGGCCACGGCTATAAGCTAAAAAAATTGCGCTGCAACTTCTCCACGCGACAAAATTTCTTCTCGCTTCGAATCACCGACATGTGGAACAGCCTCCCCGATGACATCGTTGGCGCTCCAAGTATGAACGCGTTCAAGAACAGACTAGATAAAGCTATGGAAAAATATATGTTCAGATTTGAAATGCCTCGCTCCTTATCGAACCCGGTGGAAGTCTAGTAGCTACTTCAGACTATCGTCAGTCATGAAAAGATCCGGTCAAATGACACGAGTTTAGATCTATGAACAAGGCACGAAAAGGAAAAGAATCGGCGACAGACCACATCAGGCCTACACTTCAACGCCGACATCACTATGTTATGTTATGAATGTTATGTGTCTCAACATTGTAGCATGTGATTTGCGGCAGATATTTACTTTCTTAGAGTACCCCCCTTTTTTACCGTTTTCTATTAATTTCACGTTTTCCTTGCTTTTTTAAAAAAAATTTGCACGAACAAAAAATTCTTAGATTTCTGTTTTACATATGTGCACCAAGTTTCGAAACGATCCGTCCGTAAATAAAAAAAAAATTTTTTTTCTACCGAAACGGTCCCCTTAATATGGAAGCCGTCATCTCAATAAACCAACTCTGAATAGACCTTTAATTAACTTCAATTCCTGCCAGCGAAATTATTTTAGGTTTCGCTATTTTCTTTAGAAGATATAAAACAAGTGAACTTGCTATTAAAACTGAACTGCCGTGTTTCAAATATTGACTTGCAACGACAGATGGACAAAAAAGGAAAATGTGATGGAAATTCACAGAAGCTATCGACGGCATTTGTGATACGTACCGAGCATTGCATGTCAACATCAGCCTGAATGTAAGTACCGAGTTTCAGTCACAGCGCATTGATAATACCTACTTATATTTTAAATTTCAAGCTGATCAGTTCAGTACTGAATAACTTGAAAGAGTGGTTCGGCGTAGCGTAATGTTATGTTTTGCGTTTGAGTTCGCAGAAGTGTCGATTCGGTGTTTGCAGAAGTGTCGAGTCGGTATATAATAATAATAAATAATAGCGGTTTCAGCGTTTATTAGGCCGTAGGCCTGTCGCCGATTCTTAACATTGCAGAACATCTACAGCTTGTTGCGGTCTCGAACTCGCAACTCACTGCCACAATTCTGCTGTGTTTAATTAACCGCCCGGCCGGCCTCATTGCCGATTCTGACCAGAAACTGGTGCATACAGCTGGGATCAAACCCGCGCCTCTCTGCGCCAATCTTGGCACTCTAAACTTTGATCAATGGTGGGAAGAAGTGTCGAAGGAGCTAATTTTTATCGAAGTCTACCGAAATGACACTTCTCCGGACCCGCCTCCTAGAGAGTGATTAAGTAACCGTTTACCTATACTAAAAACTCGCTTGTTCGAAGAAAAATTAATAATGTTAGAAATTAACTACATTTACTTTAACCGTTCATGCTTAAATTTGAATCTTATTTAGATGCTGGATACGTCATTCATTCGTCATAATCTCGTTGCGAACTCGTTCGTTACCCGTCACGAACGGGTTCAATTCGCTGTTCCTTTGCTTCCTTGCAGCGAGAGCGTCACTTCGACTCGGTCAGCTTGACTCGTCGAATCGTCAGTCGTCACTTCACTCTTTACAGATTCTTTTTGCGAAGCAGTCAGACGACGACGCGCCCATTGTGATTTGTGAACCTTGATAAAAATCGAATCGTAAGTATAACAGTCAAACAGAAAAAGACTTTTGAAATACTTAACATAAGCCATCCCGCGACCCGGTCACGATGTAGTATAATAATTAAATTTGAACGTGAATCATGAAGTTATGAACGCGTCTGATTGCTGAACGTGAGTTAGGAAAAAAATTAGTTTGCCCCTATGGCCGTTCAATGATTTCATGGTGGCGAGGCAATTGCTTTGAAATTTCAGAGAAGCTTAGACAAATTTTAGCCTGGCTTATAGGCCTTAATCAGCATTCCATAGTTATATATAATACATTCAGTCAACTTGAGTCAAGTATCTATAAATGTCATTTCCTGTGCCTTTTGACAGTAAGATTTATCCAATTGGAATACCTAAATTTAAGCTTGGAACATATTTTGTTTGCTTTCTTACAGGTGAATTTTTAATATTGATAAATTTAATTAGGCTAATATGAGTGTCGGGTGATCGATTGATTCGATTCACCTGTTGAAATTTGAAAGTAAAGTTTATTTACTGACTGACAGTGTCAGTATATGATGAGTAGTATTTTTTTATAGCTTACTTCCAGTTTATCTCGAAGATAAATTTGTACATTGATGCTATAAACTATAAAGAATATGGCTCTTTGTTTGGGAGATAGCTACCTAGTTCAAGTGAAAAAATTGTAAATGATTGTACCTAATACTAGTTTCTGAAAACAAAGGATGAACAATTTGAACAGAAAGTTAAATGTAATCAAAATTATAAATAATATAGAGAACATAATCATGGTAAAGAAATGATAAAATGATGATGACCTAAGTAGATAATAATGTACCAAATTGCTAAACAATCTATGGCAAGTTCTGGTTAGACTTCGAGAGTTTAGAGACTTTATTTTGCCTAAGCTCGTTGGCTCTGGTAGCCTGGTAGGTATTACCTAAAAGGTCCAAATCTCGTGGACACAAGAGAAGTGTGTTCAGTGAGGAAATAAATCTTTACATCTACCCCAAATTTAAAAACGGGTCTGTTAATTGACTTGGGACTTCAATTATTGAGCCAACAATTTCAATGCTTTACTGCTCATTCCAACTGAGTGAACTAGTATCTTAGTTTCTAATTTTAACAGTTGAGATAAGTTAAAATTAGATGAGTTTGATGCAAAGTCTTTTTCGTCTCTAACTTCAGACCTCCGGTGCGAAATAGCTTGATAGCTGAAGCGCTAGTAAACCATTCTACTACTTACTTACTCATCTCTCAACAGTTTGCGATTCTTGCATTATGGCAGAAGCAGCTCCTGAAGGACCCCCTGACGCCAACTCAACGTCCATGTGGGGCAGATATGACCGACCGGAAATCTGGCAAGCTTCTCTATCTGGCAAACCGCTTTTTACAGACGAGCATTACTCAGAGCTGGCTTTCTTCAACTGCTCAGTGGACCCCATCATGGAAGTCACAGAGCACGTGGATGTTTTGCCTACCATCATGGCATATGCCAAAATCCGTGCTACGCTGAAAGGGTTTGCAGACAGGCCCGGAGCTGTCCTTGCTTACACCATAGCTGAAGCTCTTGCTCACTATCTCCCTGCTGAAAAAAGGCTCGCTAATGTGTCAGCTGATCAGAGGATCATATCCGACGTAAATGCCATGTTTCCGTTGCATACCGGAAGCCTCAGGATCTCTGGACAAAACTGGACAAATGCTCGCAATGCCGTCTTCCCCAGTGCTGGTGCCGTCGGCAGTCAGGCAGCCGTGCCGACGGGAGGTCCAATAGCGAACCTCGATCTCCAGCAAAATGCGCCCGTGCAGACCATCCAGGAAGCTCTGGCTGTCCTTCGAGTGCTTGCATGCCATTGGTGGCATGATTCAACCCAGGCCCACGTAGCTAGCATACAGGTCTCACTCCTCATGGCTTTGGCAAAAAGAGGCTGCGCTACGGCTGGGTACGTCAGGGAGATCTGTGATGTGTTTTATGCCGAAGCTGGGTACCAGCTTGATCCCATCCCTGACTGCGTGGATCTTTGCGAAGTGTGGAAGATGATCTCTCCTTACATCACGGATATGAACGTGGGTGCTATCATTCAGAGCTGGTCTGCCTGCATCCCTCAGGACCTACTCCGCCTTCGTCTGACCCTCCAGCAGATCCCGGGTCAAGGGCTAACCGCGCTGAGTGCTATCAAAACCGCGCTCACGAGCTACCCAAACTTCAACTGGGCACATGTTGCTGTTTTGCTCGAGAATGAAGCGGCAGCTGTTCAAGAAGCGCTAACAGCCGTGGGAGCTAACATCTACTACGGTTATCGCCGTGATCTAGGCCCTGCCAGGAGCACTCGCTACAAGTCGTTCGCCTGGGTCGCTAAGGAACTGCTCATCCGTAAGGGTGGCCAAAGCAGCTTGAGAGCCTACAAAGGCTGGACTCCCGTCCCTCAGAAGTATCATGAACTGGAAAAAATGATCGCTAACTATGTCAAGAATGTTCAGCAAGAGCAGGTTTATGCCGTCGGAACCCCTCAGCACAACATCGGTGTGACTCTTGCTGCCGCGGCAGTTGCTGCAACAGGCCTGCGATCAGGTCAGGCTTCCTGTGCCTGACGTCAAAGGCCGGTACTTCAACTTCGTCCTTCAGGACCTGAGCAATGACATCAACCCTGAGCAGAGCAAGATTAGTTTCAGAAAAGGTATCCATATAATATGAGGTTACTTTGTAACTGTGGAAATATTTTTGGCCATTGAAAATCTGAAAATCACGTTTTCTTTTTTTTTCCAGATGCCTATATGACTTCGTTGCGATATTTCTTTTCAAAAATTATCAATTTGAATTTGGGATAATATTTTTGAGTTTCACCAGCAGTGTTTGGCGATTTGGGACTTTGATTTTACTCAGTTTTTAGGTTGTTTAGCACTCCTTACATGCATCACAATCTTTCTGAAATTGTGTGAATACTTGGAGGCTGGAGTTACTCCTAACTCCTAAGATTTCATGATGTAGCTGAACCCTAGCAACCATTCTGAAATGTACTTGTTTAAATATTGAATTTTAGTCTTGACAGTCATTCAGTTATATGATGTCTAATTGCGATAATATTTTCCAATAATTCTAAGTAATGATTTCCAGTGATTTGAACATCACCCATTCATTAAGTTTATTGGGGGCAGTTACTTGAGCGTTTTGGAGCAATGCGATTGTTTTGATTTTACTTGCGGACTTATGTTGTGGTCTGTCTCTCGTCCGCGATGAGTGAGAATACTAGATCTCACTTTCCAATGTGAAGTATGTACTTGTACTCATGAATCGATTTTTGCATTCCGGTATGGTTGCCACTCGAGTTTATGCTATTTAGTACAACTATCTTGTTAACGTTACCTGACGGAAGGCTGTGCGAAGTAAGAGATGTGCCAATCTATGACATGATGATGCCCACAGTGCCTTCACCGCATCGAGAGTGGCCATCGAAAAATTCCTCCCATAGGATTACGCTTTTCTAGAAAGGAAGGAATGCTAGCAATGCTCAAGTCATGAGTTGGTATATATTTACCATCATTAATTTTTCCTGGTACTAATATTTTGTGATGAATAATTTGATGGTATTGATTTTGTTTTCAATAGCTTTCAGTATTACGCCTTCCCGAATTTACGGTCCTTTGAAGATTTCACTTGAAGCTCACAGTATCTGACTACGAGTCGTTTGATGTTGAACGTAGGTAGGATCTCTTGCTTACCAATTTCTCTTTTTTTTATCCTGGCGGCCGATGTACATCTAATCAGCACTCGTACCTGTTATAGTTTCTTCCGCTTCCATTGGAAATTGTGAACCCAGCTACATATTTGCCAGCTTCAGTACGCTGACCATTTGGATCATCATGTTCACGGGTGATCTCATGGTCTTATCTTCTCGTTTATTTCGATCGAAGACATAGAGTTTATATTGAGGAATTTGGTAATGAGTGCGAGAAAAGTAATACACGATTTGTACGATATAATTTGTTCTGAAACGCTGTTAACCCAACTGCAACCACAATGCCGCTTAAGATTGGAAAGATTTCAGCAATTATGTCTGAGTTCTTATCAACCGTCAGTGATATTCCCTCAGTTGCATTTGGTGATTTTACCTTTAAGGGAAATGTGGCTGTGAAACTCTGAAATTCTTATCAGCACTCTTAAATGTCAACTGAGCGTAGCGGATGGACACACTAAATGTTTATCCTATCTGTTTAATCACTGAAAGTTTCATTACATGTTTCCTAACTAAGGATGTAGTTTTTGCAACGGATATTATTGTTAAACATTGAGCATATTGAATTAGAAAACATAGCGTTTTTTATCAAGCTCATTTGGTTAGTTTAGTATGCGTTGTTGAGAGTCAAGGTGGGTGTCACGTCAGTCAGGTTTCTGCTGAAGAACTAGTAAAGCTGAATAGTTATCACCCTCAATCGTAATTCTATTGCGGACAAAAATCAGAAGTTCGACTGGATTTATTTGCAATATCCATTCATTTTCTTAGAATGTTCAGTTTGAAAAGTACACAGGCTGCTAATAAAATCTGCTCTATTATTTGTTTAATTATTTCACCCAGTTTTTTAAAAAGCATTATGATTATCATGTCCTGCACGACAGCACGCAGCGGAGGTGGTTCCAGCACTGCGAGTTTGCCCGCCAACTTACATCCACATCTGTCGTTGCAAGTCAATAATTGAAAGACGCCAGTTCACTTTTTAATGGCAAGTTCACTTGTTCTATTTCTTTGTTACGAAAATAGCGGTAGGAATAATTTTGCTGGTAGGAATTAAAGCTAATGTGAAGTCTAATCAGAGTTCAGTTAATTGAGATGACGGCTTCCATTTTAATGGGCTGAGATAAAATTTGGTGCTCGAGAACAAGCAAGCATTACAAAATTTTTTAACAGCTAGAAAAAGTAAAATGAATTCCTCTGTAATTAGAAATATAAATATTGTGTTCACTTTAATGTAGCGAAAATATTGCAGCTGGCGATGAAATGGACTAACAATTGTGGAGTTCGCCACCCCATCGCTTTGTAACATGAATGGCAGGTATAACTACCCTACTAATCTCTGTCGAGCAACCCGTTTCACGGGAGGCATGCTACTCAGATTTCTCGGCTCGGTTCGGGTTTTTAAAGTCATTCTTTAAATCTGCTCGGGCGTGACGCAGGCTTTAAGATGGTCGGCTTTTCATGTGTGGTTCTGTCCCACTGAAGCGCTGCTGTACCTTCCCTCGTCTCTGCAAGGCTTGGCTTTTACAGAAGTGAAAGCCAGCGCCACATTAGCGTACGCTGTAAGGAAGTAACTTCGCCAGAGCACTTGCAGTGAGCTCTCAGAATCATTGGATAACTCATATCCACCTCATACTCAAATGATCAAATCGATACCGACGGCTCTTCAATATGGGAAGAATAAAGACATAGTGTTCATAGGCTAATATTTGCAATCAAAGCCCACCTGCCTCTTCGGCATCGTCTACGAGCCTTATGGCTGGCTACACTTTACAATAAAAATCGTTGCGAAGAAGCCGGGTTAATTCGTGCTCCTCAACAACTCCTGTGCCTTGTCTCTTCCGCTCAGTTCACTCGCTGATATCACCGAGTCTTTTGAACTCGGAACCTGTCTCGGGAGTATCCAAATACATATTCCCGGTAATTTGTACACGGATACCGGATACGTCGCTATAAAAGAAAATGAGACTAGTGAAGAACTTACAAGTACTTCTCAATTATTTAATTATGCTTCTGCTCGTCACAGTCATTAACAATGTGAGGAGAATTAATTAAGGTGAGATCGGACGGAGAGGCAAGCCATATTTTGAGGGGAGACGAGTCAGTTAGTTCTATCTTACAACTAAACTCCGTGAAAGTATCTTTTATTTCTTTCATTAATAGCACATTAACGAGAAATATTATGTTCAGAAATATGCAATACTATATAATGCCTATCAAAATTATCGCAAGAGTAAATGCGATGAGAAACCTCAGATTTCCTTCCTTTTCGATTAGACCAAAAATATCTATCCTTTTCGAGTTTGTCGCCGCTTCTATACCTCGTGATGAAAAGGAGCTATGAATCGCCTTATATACGGAACTCGACTATATTCACATTCTATAAACAATACTCTAAGTCTTCTTACGTTGCTCCAAAGCTTTATTAGTTTGAATTGCTGACTAGCTATTCCGTGCTATTGGTCACGATTAAAATAATTACATGAATCGAAACTGCGAAATAACTTGAACAAGGATAATTCGATAACCCAGCGAAGAAGGAATTGAGCTATAGGTCCTTCATGCACCTCAGATGTCCAAGCGATTAGAAGTTTCTTCTTGTCCGGAAGAAAAGGTATCAAACGTAGTAACCTTACGTGATTAGAAGTGTCCCCTTGGCCGGTCCATTAATGGGCAAAGGGATGCTTGGATTGATACTAAAAAAATAAGTTTACTGGAGAAACGAAAAATAGTAATTTATAATAATAAACCATGTGCTAAACTTTTTCGTCTTAAACAAAGATTTGTAACGATAAAAATTCTCCCAGAATTACATTTGCGACTATAAATAATTTGTATTTTTATGCTTGTCTTCAACACAAGCGTTCGAACGCGTTCAAGACAAGTGAAAGAGATCTAGCAGAAATGAGATCGAAGCAAACTTTTTAGTCAGGAAAGAAGATGTTCACGTTAAAAATTCAGGAATAATAAAAGTATATTATTCATTCTCATTCAACAAAGTATTGCGCACCACGCTCGTCTAACGCTGCATCTTGAAATTTTTTTACATTGATTGAACTCTTGCCTCCTGCTGTAAACATAACATAACATAGTGATGTCGGCGCTGAAGTGATAGGCCTGATGTGGCCTGTCGCCGATTCTTTTACTTTTCGTGCCTTGTTCACAGAAGATCTAAAATCGTGTCATTTGACCGGATCTTTTCATGACTGGCGATAGTTTGAAGTAGCTACTAGACTTCCACCGACATGCTTAGAAAATTTCAGCTCCTTGTCGACATAAACTCCGAGATCTTTATCCACACTAGACTTTTCAATCAATACTCTCTCGTTGCAACCATGTCTTCTCATACTGTAATCTTGCTGTTCATTGTTCTTCCCGAGGTGAAGTACTTTACACTTGTCAGCATTAAACCGCAGCTGCCACGTATCAGCCCAGTTAACTAAGCTGTCAAGATCATCTTGCAATTGCGCTTTATTTGACACATTCTTCACTGTATTATAAACTTTTGTGTCGTCGACACACATGGAGCACACGCTGGACACTACTTCTGGCAGATCATTTATAAAAGCAACGAACAAAATAGGCCCCAGGACGCTTCCTTGTGGCACAAAACAAAAATTTTAATTCCCCATTTCGGGTACCTGCACCTGGGCCTTTATACAGTATATTTTCTCGAGGTAGCAAAACATGGACAAAAATATCAGTACGGGGCCGCCTCAATTAAAAATGATAATTGCGGCCACTGACCACATCTGTCCTGCGCGTATTTGCTCCGGTCTGTTAACGAGCATCCGCTTTCAAGTCAATACGTGTATAGATTTGTTTGTTGGTATCTTCTCGGGTCATTATACAGGTACCTGCCTCTAATTCCTATAAGCATTTTTTCCAGTCTGTAGACATGTACCTTTTCTCGAGAATCTGCCTCGCCTTTACATGAGTATCTGCCTTCGCTCTGCACGAGTATCGGTATCCGAGCTGTGCTATTGCTAATTTATCCGGGTATTTGCCACTATTTCTGCGAGAATCTGTTCCTGGCCCATACCAGTTACTGCCCCTGGTCCGTACGAGTAACTGTCTTCGGTCTGAACGAGTATCTGTCCCTAGTCTTCACGAACAACTGTCCCTGGTCTTTACGTATTAGCAAATACGTATTACCGTCTTCGGTCTGCACGAACTGTCCCCGGTCTAAACGAGTATCTGTCCCTGGTCTACACGAGTAACTGTATGTCCCTGATCTTTACGTATTACCGTCCTCGGTCTGCACGAGTAACCGTCTCGGGTCTGTAGTCCCTGTACGTCGCCTGCACGAGTAACCGTCTCTGTTTAACCGTCCCAGGTCTTTGTATAACCGTCCCAAGTCTACCCGAGTAACCTTACCTGGGCGGAACGAGCCCCAGCTTTAGGTCTATCGAGCATGCGTAGTCGGTCTACTATCGCGATGGCATGACCATATCGCGATAAGTTCGGTAAAGAACTGGCTTTTATCGCAACACTTTTTCGATGAGGAACAAAAACTAACCAAGCGACAAGCGGAAAAAATAACCTGCCACAAGTGATGCTATTTAACGCGACAGTAACCACGTGTACTATGAGCGTACGATGAAAGATTTATGGTCTCTATTTGATTTCATCAATGGTAAAGTTGAAGTTATAAATTATGTTTAACAGGTGTAGAATAATGTTGATTATATTGATTGTAATGTTGAAAGGAATATTCAATCCTAATTGGGGAAATTTTATTGAAACTGAATAGGTCATGATATTAAAAATTTAAAATCAAATTTTGAATCGTAATCCAATTGCTCATTAGGGGACGATTAATTTTTCACGAAAGTCCTGTTTTCGGAATATTTGCTTCAAGAAAGTTGATATAATTTTAAAACTAGTAATAGACAAGAAATAAGCCTAATATGAACCGACAACATGCAATGTTTAATAATAAGTAATTAGTGAAATGTATGCAACTATTTGTTTAATAAAAATTAAAAACACTCAATTGACATGTAATAAAATATCGGAAAAAATGTATCGCACTAGCACAATGATGTCCCTCGTTTGAGTGAATGGCTAATCAAAAAGTAAAATCTAAGAAATTTTTTGAGAGGAGACACTAAATGTTACTTTTAACTGAATTGTGAGCCTAAAAATATCCTTATCTGTAATTTATCGACTTTAAAAACCAAGTCCCCTTTTAAATACGTGGAGTAAAAATACGATAATTCAGTTCGGGGGAAAATTCAACGTGAATCTGAGGACTTACAAGATTCTTTGTTAAAATTACCGACTTTATCGTAGTTATCTTTGATTCTCTGTGACATGCGTAGCGGTTGAATTGCCTGCGCAATATCCGCGGAAGCAACTGCTTAAAAACCACGGAATCCAAAGGAAGTATTTGCTCATACACAAAGGAGTCGGTAGGCCTTCTCGTGAATGCGCAGTTACTGAAAAACTTAGTGCCCACCCATTCATCGTGTCAAGGCTTCATTCACGGCTTCTTCGCCGTGGCGTGAACACGTTTATTTGTGCTCGTCTGGAACCTTTATAGTGGCAAGTGAGTCTTGCGGACAATCCTTCACATTCTCAAACGATTTGGGAACTTTTCCTGGTGTTAATAAATATATTACACGTAAAAAATGTATGGTAATATTTAAATTGAGATTAATCCACACTTCTGTCATGAATTGTTTCCCAATTCTCTGCCTTATTTTCGAATTTGCGGAACTGTTTTGAAATTTCAGAGCTGTTTTTAGACATTTGCGACAGCTTTACAGCTATCGGTGTCGTTTCTAAATCGGGCAGCATGAATTTGCTTTCACAATGTGCGGAACTTTCCGCAAGTTGTTTGATGGTTTTAGGATTGGCTTCACTGTCTTTCGAATTGTCAGGTTTGATTCCATATAATCGGATTATTCTCAAACTCACGGAACCATTTTTAAGTTGGTTGGATTATTTCTGAATGACGAGCCCATTTCCAAATGGCTCGGATCTGTTTCCAGCATGCCAGACCTAATGTAATTTCTCTGACTATCCCGAGCAGTTCCAATCCTTTTGGGCTGTTGCGAAACTATCGCGACTGTTGGTACATGACAACTGATATTGGCTACTGACTATTTTTCCGCTGTCAGCCTTTTTTCAAGCCTTAGGGACTTTCAAATTGTAGATGATTTCAAAATTTCGGGGGCTGTTTCAATCTATATATTATCTAAGTTTTAGTGGCTGATATAAATGCAGACTGCTTCTCATTTTGGACTGTATTTAAATTGTAAGAACTGTAGACTGTCTCTAAAATGCAAATACTTTTCGTATATTTAATGGTTTCTAACTGTAGGGACTGCTTGACTTCGCACACTAATTTCTGGGACTGTAACGAAGTTCAGACTTTTTAAAGCATCTACGGCAGTGGTTCCCAAACTTTTTCAGGCTGGCGCCCCCTCTGGTTCCTAGTGAATTTTTAGCGCCCCCCACAGACATACGCCTCTTTCTTGAAATTTAGTACGCTGCAATTTGAAAAGAGAAGGATCAAACACAAACGTGTATTTCACAAATAGAACCCCATTTAGTGAACCAATGTTTTTCAGCTGTTTTAACTGTTTCAGCACTTGAAACCTAGGACGTCTCGTGCGAATTTACGGCCGGACTCCACCGGTCTCACGACCAATCTCCAAATTCAATTATCAAGTAATATCGGTATTATTGCAGATTAACTACATCCAAAAAAAAGGGTGTTTTTTTTTTAATTATATGTTTTTTGGGGTGTAGATGGTATTATTGCAGATTAACTACATCCAAAAAAAAGGGTGTTTTTTTTTTAATTATATGTTTTTTGGGGTGTAGATTACGAATCTGAAATCCATTTTTGGCGGTCGGCATCAAAAAAATCGGTTTTCCGATGCCGACCGCCAAAAATGGATTTCAGATTCGTAATCTACACCCCAAAAAACATATAATTAAAAAAAAAACACCCTTTTTTTGGATGTAGTTAATCTGCAATAATACCGTAATATCTCCTCAACTAATGAACGCAGCTCAATGAAACTTGAACCATGTATTCATCAGAACCTAACGGTGATGTTTAGCTCGTAAAATTTTATTTTTAAACTTCACCTTCGCTCGTGAGTTACGCGTATATTGTGAAATGGGCCGAAATTCGCTGTGATCAAAGAATTTCTTTCAAACTATTGAACAGATTTGAACGAAATTTTGAACACACATTCCTAACTATCAAACAAGGATTTTTCAGCTCAAACATTTTTTTTCCAATTTAACCTTCGTTTGCGATTTTTTCTTTCATTTCACAGTCATTCTTGATTTCACACTTCCTTATATTTGGCCCGTATCGCCGAAAATTTGTCGCTTAAATTCGCGGCCATCAAGATGTTTCTTCTAAACTACAGAACAGATTTCAACGAAACTTTGTATATAAATACTTAACCTCCCAACGGCGATGTTTAGCTTGTGACAATTTTTTTATTTTGCTATCGTTCGCGAGTGGTACAGATACAGGAGAAACGACCGGCTTTTCTACCGGCCGGTTTAACCAAGAGCCGTTTACGTATATAGCCGTATACGTATAGCCGTATAACTCGCAAACGAAGGCAAAACGAAAAAATTGTAACGAACTAAACATCACCGTTGCTGAGGTTAAGTATTTAAATACTAAGTTTCGTTCAAATCTGTTCAGCAGTTTGGAAAAAATTTCTTGATTACTGCGAATTTAAGCACGTATTGCTGTGTTTAAACCCCGAATGAAGGTTAAATAAAATAAAAAACTAGCGAACGAAGACACAATCGAAAAAATTTTCACGAGCTAAACATTACCGTTCGGAAGTTGGGACTGCAAATTCAAAATTTCGTTCGAATCTGTTTAGTAGTTTGGAAGAAATTACTTAATCACTGTGAATTTATACCGTATTGCCATATAACTATGTCAAAAACTAACGATGGCGAAATTCACACAATTTTCACGAGCAAAACATTATCGTTAGGTTCTATCGAATACGTGTACTAAGTTTCATCGAGTTAAGTTCATTAGTTTGAGAGATATTCCTAGATCATTGAATTTGGAAATTAGCCGTGAGACCGGCCGTTAATTTGTCCGAGACGTAAACTCAGGAGAGGTTAAAAAATAGATCTGGGTGACAAAACCATCGCTGGGAGTCGTGTGCTGTACGTGTTGTGTACAAATCGTCAAATAAACGTTCGAACTTCTGACATCGACTTCGGACTACCGCCCCCCCTATCGCCCTCTTCCTTCTTACCGCCCCCAAAATCTTTCCACCGCCCCTAGGGGGGCGATATCGCCCACTTTGGGAACCACTACGGGATTTTAATTGGCAGAGGTCTTCTAAATTCACGCGACTTTTTGATCGGGACACTCTTCGCAGAATTTCTTGATTGCCAAAACTTAATTGCCAAATTTTTAGAACAATTTCACACTTTGGACTGAAGGAAAGACTTGGGACTTTTCACATCAGATTCCAGATTGACTACAGTTTCAAATTTTCGATACCGTTGTCAAATTGTTAGGATTGCTTCTAGCTTGCGGACAATCTCCGAAAAATTGGGTTGAAAAATGCGTCAGTGTACAAAAATTTTGTAAAAAATGAATGAGAAAAAATGAGAGAATGTAATGGGGTGCGCATATTAGCATTTGCAGCAGTCGACACACAGTGTTCTTGATAGTAAGTAGTGCTGCCAGGTGTAGTGTGCAGACTGGTAATATTGGCAGAAAGAGTGTGCTTATATATAGCAGTCGTATTGGTAGTACGAGTGTGCTTGTTAGTATCGGCAGCAAGAGTAGGCCTAGTTATTAGTAGTTGCGTCAGTTGGAGTGTGCTTAAAATCATGATAAGCGTGCACATTTAACGATACGGCGGTGAACGGCTCGTAGAGGAGGCAATTGATAACGACGATATTTTGTAAATGGCCGCTGCAGAAAGACTGCTTGTTTGGCTTTATCGAATGAGTTTGTATATTACAAATTCCTAGCACCTATAATAAATCATATATGCCAATTATGATCGATCGAGAGCTTAAAAGCGTTGGACGGGAATATTTAGATGTAAACAGGTCATGATATTTTTATAGTTGTCATAAATCACCAACATAATCTGGACAGAAAATTCCGTTGCTGGTAATTATGCACGAAAATTATTAATGATCCCCGACCTAAATTAATATAAGGTAATTCGGCAAAGGGAATAATGAACGAGAATTATTTGATAACTATCACCGTCGTAAATTAATGCGGGGAAATTCTTCATGTCAATTATGCATGGTGAGGCTTCAGTGATAGTACCACATTTGAGGCTATAATGGACGTGTGGCAGCCATAACGGGTTTATGCGCGTACTGAGAGTTTTATTTTTTTAGCGATTTTGCGTAATAAGTAGAGTGAGTAAGAAGCTAGGGATATGCGACATTCTGGAGATAGGCCTTAGGATCCAGAATGCTATATGATAGGGACAACTAACCACAAACGAGTTCACGATAAACCTAAGCGACGGCAGTGTGACTATTGAAACAGAAGGCAAAGACGTTCAGTTTTGGTCCTAAATGGGCTCTTTAAACGCTTAGGATATTTTTAAGTAAGAGGGTCATTTTCGATTATCGACGGCTGCTGGCACATAATCGGAATGAATTGCTTGAGATATATAGATAAAGTTAGCATCACTATTTTGTAACTAGGGGCAGTCAAGGCTATTTGAAGGCATGAGTCGCATGGGTGGAACCTATACTAAGCTTGGCATAAAAGGAGCTGTTGTTAATTTCATCGCATTAATTCTAGATCAGCAAGGACCTCATTGAAGTATACAAGTATACTCATGGTCTACACAAGATCCCTGAAGGGTTACTAGAATTTGAAACAAGAACCAACACCAGGGGCCACGGCTATAAGCTAAAAAAATTGCGCTGCAACTTCTCCACGTGACAGAATTTTTTCTCGCTTCGAATCACCGACATGTGGAACAGCCTCCCCGATGACATCGTTGGAGCTCCAAGTATGAACGCGTTCAAGAACAGACTAGATAAAGCTATGGAAAAATATATGTTCGATTTGAAATGCCTAGCTCCTTATCGAACCCGGTGGAAGTCCAGTAGCTATTTCAAACTATCGCCAGTCATGAAAAGATCCGGTCAAATGACACGAGTTTAGATCTATGAACAAGGCACGAAAAGGAAAAGAATCGGCGACAGGCCACATCAGGCCTACATTTCAGCGCCGACATCACTATGTTATGTTATTACCAGCTGCGACGCCACATCGCCCATGGCCGTTTGGTGGCACTCGACTGATTTTTATTCACTTCTAGCAGCTGTAACACGTGGCGTAACCCTTACTGCAGTTAGGTTGTCTCGCCCTGCAAGTCTCTCCACGCGCTCGCTGCGACTGCAAACAAATGAAGAGCGGCCGTGGAACACCACGCAATGCCGAGCAATTGTCAGCAAGCATTGAATGGAACTCCTAGAATCAGTCCACAGGGCCGCTAATCGGCAGCGGTGTACGCCTATCGTTAGTAACCAGCCAACATCAGTTTGTTTTAAATATTATGATTTTTCGCCGCTGAACATTTCAGCATCGCCACGTGGGTACGCTTACCGACGCCAGAGTTGCACCAGGCTGCATATCAAATGCATCTCCCGTACCAATTATCAGGCTTATGTGCTACTTAAATTATGACCAAACTATTCAATTTTAAAAGATCTTCGGCGAAAAAGTGGTGAGCTTTTTAAATTACGTTACCAATATGAGCTAACATAATTTGCGGCCAGATTTCACATCGCAAAGTCATTTTCCACGAACAGTAGTCCTTTTCTATCTATGATTGACCGCTGGATCAGAGGCTGATTCGGTGCCGATACCAGCGTCGGTTTGCTTGGAGAATGAATGATGGAACGTTTTTGCGCGATTCGTTTAATTAGTGTAGAATTATTTCGTGCGTTGGTGGACAATGTTGGGTAATACCATTCCTGGCATCTTTACTGGGGGCAAGTTGGTACAATTTAAAGGATGTTTCGTTTTACGTTTCGAGCAGCTGATAATGAGACTGTTAGACCCGAATTATTAATAGCTAAATCGTTTCTTTAAGTATTTGCCCACTTATTGCAGGCGGGGATGTTTTATATTGGTCTCCGTCTGGCAACCACATTGCAGTTATTAATCAAATAATTCCTATGAGCATTAAGGAAAATAGATGTCAACATATGAGAATATTTATGACTTGAGTGCTGTATAGATGTGATTTTCTTCGTTTTCGTTTGCGCGTTATACCACACGGAAAATTTATTCACGAATATTTAATTATCTTTATTTCGGAAAACTTCACTGTAACTGTCGATGAACATCGTCAGCTGGTCTCAAAAAGAGACATTTTTTGTGCCACGTCATCATTTAACTGCTTTAACACAGCCTAAATGGATCACCTAAGTTGCCCATTGCATTCATATCTTTTGTTTAAGTTATAATTCCTCGGAGTGGCCAAAAGGGAGCAGAACCATTTCAGTCAAATCGGCTCACTGTTTAACTACAACGTGACCAACATTTGGTCAACAGGTCAAAATTATTGTCTTTTTCCAAATAAATAAGTATTTGATTAAATAAGGAAAGATTCACATGAGCAAAATAATGTAGTCAAGTTTATCTAATTATTGGCATTTTTATTCTCCATGCCTAATCGGACGGCCATATCTGTGTCCCTATGAACAAAACCAATCTGAATACTTGCTTTACGGAGATAAGGGTGCGCAATGTGTTTTGAAATAAGTTTTAGAACGATCCCCACCCAAGTTTGCAACATTTACTGATATAAATTTCAATTATCCGTGTGGGTAAGTTCTAAGTTTTCTACAGGTTCCGCATTTTGCTATTGAAAGAACCGAGACAGCACGAGTTTTGAGTAGGGTTGTCCAGAGGGTACAGTTCTAAATACCAAGATTGGAACAGTGAGCAATGGGTTCAGACCAGCTACCTGCTACAGTTATGGTAAAATCGGCGAGGTGGCCGGGTAATTAAGCACCGCACAATTGGAGCAGCGAGTTGTGTGTTCGAGACTTGCCACAAGCTGTGAAAATTTTGCTACGTGTAGACTCAGCGATAGGTCAATTGGCCATATTAGAACGGTGACACAGCTATTACTAACTTGAGATGCTAGAGATTTTCCGGGTCTTGGAGCATTACCCCAATCAAGTATAATCAGAAACCAGTCATACAATAATTATATATTGGATTACTTACAATTAATCCTACCAGGAATTTCAAAAAAGAATCAATACTGTAACCATTTAAATAATTTTTCTCATTCCAGAGTTCCACTCTTAAGTTCAATAGTGAAAGAAATATCTAATTTTGATAAATAAATATGGAAAATAAACAAAAATTTCTGGCAGTAGACAGTAAAGCTTTTGAAGGAGATGCAGAAAACGAAAAGAAAAAATCCTGGAGTGAAGGAGACCTCGTCCTCTCAGAAGTGGGGCCTCCGCCGCCGCGCCGTGCCACCATCGCCGACGAGCTCAGGGATAAAGGGTAAGCGGGGAGGATTAAGCTCTTCAGTATGATGAACTCAGGATAGTTAGGTATCATAAGGGGACCATAATGATACCTAACTACCTACTACCTAACCTAACTTGAGGGGACTATGAGATTCTCTTGTGATAAAAAAATGTATCTTGAATATTAGTTTAACTAGACCGCTTAATCAATCAACATTTATTACAAATTTTAGATTTAATTACGAGCAAGAATTGTTACGCAAGTGAGTATGAACAATTTTGTTCGCGCTCATTTGAAACCTGAACGAATCGCAGGAACAAATTAATCGCTGAGAATCAAATAATTCACTTTTCGAACGGTTAATAAGTATAAAATAATACAAATATATCATTTTCTCTGTAACGTCACCAATTAATCAAGTTAACTTAATTATTCAAATTAAACTCAATCGTGAGACGTAGAAAAGTTTACATGCTTGCATGTCAAATTATATTCAGCGCACGTTGCTTCAAAATGTAACTACAAACGCAGCGTTGTTTTAAATTATTTTATTCATTAATCATTGAATTATTCATTAAACAACCATGATTAATTAAAATCCTACTTCGTTTCCTAACTTGCGCACCCAATTGAATTAGCAAAAGTTTGACGACTTTTCATTTCATGAGCTGAAAGCTTTTTTGACGTTAATTAATTTTATTGATCACCGAAGTTTGATATTCATAAATTGATCAATACTTCTATGAGTCTTAACTCAACCCGGACATCGTAAATTACGCTCGAATGATTTGGTTGCAAAGCTTATATCAGCAACCGGAAACGTATTGTAAGTCAAGAGCTGTTTTACCCAGCTGGGAATTGAGAAATATTTATTTTTTTTTTTGTATTGTTCTGTGTATAATTTTGATTTTGGAGTATACAACCTCTTTTTCAGGTGAACCACGGCATTCACCTGAAGATCATATCACTAGGCTACATTTACAATTTCAAAGAATTGTGAGTAACTGTTCATGACCAATGTTAGGATTCCATAATATTGCAAAATGAAAACTAATTCCTCTTGAAAGATATTTTAAAAATAAAAGCCTTGCTTTCTATCGATGATTGATCATGTATCGATATTTCTCTCCCATTTCCTTGTCCGATGAGAATTCTACAAGCGGTGAAACCTGTCTTCTGAAAATAATTCACATAAAGAATGCTTTCCACCTTTGATTTTCACCATCAAGATTAGTGTTAGGACATTGGCAAACACGAATAGAGAACGTAGTAAAGGATTGGCGAAATGTCAAGTCTAGAAAATCTAGGAAGCTTAACATGTGAGGATTCTGATGGCCAGTGTCGTTCACAAATGAAAAATTTAGCCACATTGATCTCGAAGCCGACAAGTTCTAGTAAACCTAATCAGCATCGTTCCTCTGTATAGTTCAAACGAACGCGATTATTTTCTCCCATTGTGTATTCATTGCAACAACAAGACACATGTGAGCTATAATAACGGAATAATCCTTATAAATACTTCTAATCAAATAATTACTCTCAATCAATAGTCAAAGGAATGCAGAGAGAGCGTCTGATGACACTAATCATCACGCGTACACTCGCCTCACCAATCTACTACTGATCCGAGTTCTACACTACTAAGCTGGTACAAAAGGATTCATTAATAGAACCCTACTGCCATTTATAACTTGTTTAGGTTAGGTGCATTCATTTCCAATTTAATTTACTCTGATACGAAAAAAATTAAATTTTTGCTACGAAAAATGAATTGTTCTAAACGGTCGAGCTAAATATTCATAAAGCGGCTAACGACAGCTTTCCCTAGCTTGAATATCGAGCCTCCGCGTCTTTGGCCAATGCACAAACGGATTATGAAAAAAAATGAAGAAAGCAATTGAAGATAACAGAATGAACTAGTGCTGAACTCTGATGTTCAGGTACGCATGGCTAGTTGTGGCAGTGATGTTCATATTGAACGTCATCACCGCCGGATACATGAAGAGCTTTGGCGTCATCTACAACGCCATCGAGATCGCATACCCCCACACATCCGCCACCGCTGGAGGTGTCATGGTCGCCCTCCTCTCTGGCTGTCGGAACTTCTTAAGTACGTCAAGTGAATGTCTTCATTGCGCACTATTCAAAATATCCCTGATGCTTTTTACTAAAGATTCGTTGAATGTGCTTATACTAGGAAGTCAGATTTTTCTCTTGCGAAATGTCGAGTAAATAGCGCAATAAAAATGATTGACAGTTATTTCGACAGGTATAGTCATTCTATTTAGTTTACATTATAAATAGTTATTTTTAGCGCATTTTCTTATTTATGGAAAAAATGCACTATTGTGCTCGCTATGTCCGTCTGTCTTGTCTGTCTGTGACTTCACGTTTTCGTCGACGAGAAAGTACGCTCTCTGTCACTCACTGCAGTGAGTACCGAGTTCTATTTTTTACTCTATGTGGTGAGGAAAACTTGAAATCATGTGATTATGGGAAAGAAATTCGTATTCGTCTACTGCAAATTAGTTTTTTAGAACTGTGTGATTGAAGGCAACAAACGAGGGAATAATTGAACTACATGGAAAAACTCATTTCCAGGTAGTAGCATCTTCAGGTTCAGGGATTTGTTTTGATTCGAGCACAACCTCCAATGTATACTGTAATAAAAATTTTTAATGTAAGTGTCTACTTATAAATACCACTTGTCGTTTTGTAAGTTGGCCCTCCCTATCAGCCCCCGCATTTGGAGCAGCGTCGGTTCATTTTGGGGCCCGCCCAGTCATGATGTTCGGGATAGTCCTCTGCTCCGGCGGCCTCTTTGCTTCCTTCTTCTGCGAATCCGTCGCCTCACTAGCTTTAACGCTGGGTGCCATGATGGGTGATTATTATATTTTATCATCTATTTTACATCATGAAATAATTTAATGTATTTAAATGTAATATAATCATTTTCGGCAGTTCAATATTTGTTTAGCAGGCCATTTTTGTGGCAGGCGCATGTTATTACTATTTATTTTGTATTATTGCTATTACATTTATTAGTACCTATCAATGATCAAAGACAAATTTGATTGAAGAATTTTAGAATTCGAAGAGAATATGCGAAGCCCGTTGATTCAGCCCTTTGTCTACTGATAGTAACTCTAATTGCCGAGTCGTATGACAGGATTTGTCCAGAGGACGTCGAATTATATTTAGACAAGTGATCGTTGAGGTGGCAAATAATATTTCAATCTTCACCCTCTACCCCAGGTGCTGGCATGTGTGCTGAGGGGATCGGCCAAGTCGTCGTCATGCCGGAGTATTTCCGTAACAAAAAAGAACTAGCAAATTCCATCCGCGTAGCAGGCCACCCTCTCGGGGGCGCCGCCTTCCCATTCTTCTTTGTTCCGATCTTCGAACATTTTGGCCTTAAACTCACCTTCATCATCTTATCAGCTTTGTTCGCGCAACTTGGCGTGTTTGTATTCTTAATAAGGCCATTTTCTGTCCACGTAAAAATGGCCGAAGTCAAAAAGTTACGAAGGGAAAACGCAAGTAGAAGATCTTCAAATTATCAAATAACGATGACCGATGATGAAGTACTTCAAGAAAAGCCAATTAAGGCGAAAAAATTAGACTTGAAGCTTTTTTCGAATCCCATTTATTTGACACATATTTGCGCCATTGTGGGATTGTCAGCTGCTCTTCCTCACGCTCATTATTTTGTGGCCGTTTACGGTAAATCAATCGGATTCACGCTCGAACAAAACTCTATTTTACTCGCGTATCAATCGGTGTTCGACGGCGTCACCCGACTGATCCTTGGCTACGTGCTCGACAGAAGAGTCTTCAAAAAGACGCACTGCCTCGCTACGTGGTAAGCATGTGAAATATTTAACAATTCATTTCAATGTTGAGTGCATACTGCAATTATACACTTTCATACAATTAAGTTCACTATAAACTTTAAAAACACCTGAACTAGATTTTTTCGCACATTAAATGCTCTATAGCAGAAACCGACCTTGTGTTCCAGTCTAAATGAATGGAGCTTTAACCTGTGAAACACTCAGCACAGATAACACTTTTAAATCTCTAGATTATATCGTTGTCTTTTATTTCTTTAAATTTTACACATGCAGCGAAAATTGGAGAATCTTTTTCATTCATTTCCCTAAAATATTTTTTTGATTCTTGTTTGTCTGACAAACCACAGCTTGATTGTGGCTGGTATTGGTACTACGGCGATTCCAGCGTCAACCGACTTCTGGGTGGTGCTTTTCAACTTCAGCATTTTCTCGATCGGAAGTTCTGGCTACTTCGCCATAATCAATGTCATCCTCATCGACCAGTTTGGGGGACACAACGTGGCATCTTCGTGGGGATTTATTCGCATGATCCAGGGAGCATTGAACTTCATTTACCCTCCCCTACTGGGTATGCAAATAAACTGTAATCTCATGCACTTTACACTAATAGCTATAAATTTTGGTTCAACTTAGTCTTGGTTACAATCTCTTTGGTGTGTTAGTAAATTAAGGTCTAACATCTGTCAGCTTGATTCCAAACTCGGTCATATTGAAATTACAAGCATGAACATCTTTTTTTTTTAAGGGATGTATGTATGTGTATATATATCGTTTGCAGGATACCTCATGGATGTAACGGGCAGTTGCGTTTTGACGTTCATCATCATGGGCATCGGCATGAGTTGCGCTGGTCTCTTCATTGCGTCACAGCCTCTCGTTGCACGGGCTGCTAAGATCGACATGACTTTCTACTGAATGCGTGTGATTTATATGGATCTCGGATAAGTGGATTTAAAGCTGATAGTCTATGGTGGTTGCTAAAGAGTTCCGAAGGAACTGGATACGAATAATTCCTTATGCGTTGTGTCGTTTTTATTTATATCGTCCGTGTAAATAATCCTATAAACGTTATTATGACAATGGCACGGCTTCGTTCTCGCGCCTGCTTCCGTTGGCATCTTTCTTGTCCGTGCTCATCGATGATTTTATAATTCATCCTCATCAGATCCAACGGAAATTTCTTCTACACAGCTGGTCTTAGTGCCAAGATTGAAGTCATCTAGCTATCCATACGAGAGATGCTCCTCCGAAGTATACTGTGAACGGTTATACTCTAGAATCTAGATTCTAGAAGAAAGCACCAGGAACTTTGCGGTGGAGGTCTTCAAGATCTTTACCTACTTCAGGTCAAATATCACAAGCTCGTCCATTGATTCTGACATCATAAATAGGATCGCCAAGACCACGGCAGTCATGATCAAACTAAATCAGCGAGTTTGGAACATTTCAAGCGTCAGCGAGAAAATAAGGCTGAGCGTCTACCTAACCTGCCTACTTAGCAGGACCCTCAGGGAGGCAAGAAAGAAAATCAACGGCTTCCACATGAGGTGCCAGCTGCCCGTCGTCGCAACTATTGTGGTTGATATTTTTGTTGCTCTCACTAGGCCTAGGATTAATTAGAAGCCTCCCAGTCCTTCCCATTGGGATAAGCATCCTTCTAACTGTGAGTGCGTGTCACTGGGAACTACTTACTCTATTTTTCTTTCTGTTTCTATCATTCTATTGTACTTACGAGTACACCATCATCATATACGAGTATCTGTGTTTTCGCGCTCTCCACTCTCTTGATCCCTATGCCTTCTCACGCCAGCCCCCACGACCATCTGTTGGACCTGGACTCGACGAACCGATCCCCATAAAACTTTTTAGGAGCACAAAATATCTCGTTGAAATCTGAGACCTAGCGTTTGGTTTGTCGACGAACTGAGAAAGATATAATATTGTACGAGCTGAAGCTTCCGGTGTGGGACGCAGTCTCTTCAAAAGTAGAATGCACGAAACTTGACAGATTGAAGATCCACCATCCACAAATAAACATCAGTCCCCTCGACACCCACACAAGCATGGACAAAAAAAAAACGCATCAACCACCAAAAAGACGCAACAGTATACATTCAAATACCCTCCACATTGATCCTTTTATCCTCACTTAAGATAATTCATCATGTCCGTCTTGGTTAATAATAATGTAAATTGCGAACCTCAACCCACACTCCCATCCGCCTTAATCATAGCCCTTATTGGTTTCCTCACTTATCCACTTTTCAACTCTACTTCATAAACTTACAATCAACCCAGGTCGTTTCCTACGGTGTTTTCTATTCATCCTTCACCATTCTCACCCCTCCGCGCAACCTCTCGTTTTCCCCTCATTTTCCTAGTGGCACCGCACCTCTACCAGGTGTCTGCGGCCCATAATGCACGACAGGGTCCCAACACCGAGGTTCTGAAGCGACCCATCATTAACAGCTTACGTACAATTCTGAGTGAAAGACGTACCCAGGTGGATCGGGCATGTCTGGAGAATGTTCACGGGCCGCATCTCCAAAGACCTCCTTTATAGCGGGCTCATTGAAGGCCTGAAGCAAGCCGGTGTAAAGGACGTGAAGCAGTGCTTCATTGAACCCATTTTGTGGAAGAGCCAAGCGGACGACCGCCTAGCCATTGTAGCTCTTAGTCAGGCAGAGAGCGCAGGTCAATTTACCAATCCTAGAAAAAAATCCTGGTGGAAGCAATTACAACGGATTCAGCCATCCGCCTTGACCTGGGCTGATATTTAGAGGGATTGCCATTCTAGAGTCGGCTTACATGAGCTGCGGGTCGATCCAACGATTTTCTAATCATGGAATGCAGCGACGCATAATATTTGGTGATTATCTTCTATGAAGGCGCCTCGAATGCTAGGAGTTCTGTCCCAGTTATAATGTAATTATCTTAAAAGACTTTCTAGACAGATAATGGTTATTGTAATCAGTAGGAGTTTAATGAGCGAGATCAGCCTTATTCGATAAATATATCAATAAGTAGTAACTTATTCTAAAGTGTAAATAACTTTTCCTGCGGTTAGAATATTAGATTTACATTCCTTGCTCGCCGTATATAAATGTTGATGCAAGCCAATAATATAAATCGACGATGGTGATCTTGATGGTGATCTTTAATTCGCCTATGTAGAGACCTGGTGTTTATAATTTAAATGAATAGAAAGAAATTTCGGTGATACGTACTAAATGCGTTACACTTTCATCTGTCAAGCTTCACTTCCTGCCTCTTTATTTTTTAACTGTTGAGTAGAAGGCTACTTATCCCTTTGGTCCACAAGGAAAATTGAACACTTCAATCACGAATTTCAGATCATATCAATAATATAGAAGCAGTCTGACAATTGATTGAGTAGGATCATTTGATCTGTTGCCAGATTCGACAGTTGCTTATGTAAATTTGTGTTTCGCGGATACAGGTGAATTTAGCAGCCCGTAAAGATTTGCATATTGTTCATTAGCTTTTATCCAGGCCTCGGGCTGTAATGGTGTGAGCTCGTCTTGGGTTACTTGTCGGAGACAGACACACGGTCAATCTCCTGTTGGACTTCCTTGATTCCAAACATCAATTACGTAGCTTCAAAAATTTCTTTTCTATAACGTTAGCAGCTGCAAGACTGAAAGGACAACACATCCCTTGAATAAAACCAATCAGCTCCCAGAATATGTAGATGCCGGGAACATTATGGCCAAGCATCGTGTGCCAGTGCATGAAATAATTTTTCTACTATCACTCACAGCCACAGCTTAGGATGTTCCAATATTTATTGGTGGTAGTGGTGGTGTTGCGGTGCCACTAGGAAAGAATGGATGAGAAAAGCAGGTAGCACAGAGTGGCCTGGTAGAGGAAGGAGAAATGGAAAAAATAGTTGGAGGTGAAAAGGCGCATAGCGCTTAATTGGGTTGGTTATAGGTTTTGGGGGTTTGACTAGGGTTTGGGGGGAGGGGGGAACCCGTCAGGGTTTTGGTTAGTTGCGCGGAATATTGTGGGGTGGATTGTGATTCGATACTTACTGAAGATGCATTCGTGGTTGCTGTTCACGATGAAAAATGAAGTAATATGCGCTTACTATGTTGTGAGATTGGCTCGCATGTTTTTGTCTCTACCTTATGGTTCTTCGATTTTTTACTTGCTTCGTTGATGATAATGATTTTGATGGTGATAATGGGTGGTTTAGAGCTCAGGATAGCACGTCTGCCGTCCGAGCGACGCATGTCTCCTCGTGAAGGTGGTTTGAGTATGCGTGTAGTTGTTCCACTCACTTGTTCGGGCCCCGGCCAACAGACGCTCATCAGCCTCACTCTCAGAACGAGTGCCCAGGTGCAGATGGCCCGTTTTTTGGATGATGAGGACTTTGTGATGGGGGGATGATATTGGGCCCAATGATAGCAATTATTATCGGCCAGTCAGACCAAATCTCTTCCTGACAATCGACAATGGAAAAAGATTTAAGAGTTAATGTCGACAATAAGTTGAAATTGTCTAAACATATTGATGCTCAAGTTAATAAAGCCAATAAACGACTTGGACTGATCAGACGTTCCTACGAGTACATAGATGATGAAGCGATTAAGCTATTGTTTGTCGCTGTCGTGCGTCCGAACCTATAGTTGGAAATGCCGTGTGGTCCCCAAAACTAGCAAAGGACAAAAATTTAGTCGAGAGCGTTCAAAGACGTGCAACAAGGATAATTCAATGATTAAAATGCATACCTCATGAAGAAAGATTAAAGATTATGAAGCTTCCAAGCCTCTGTTATCGACGTGTGCGTGGTGACCTCATTTACGTATACAAGTATACCCGCGGTTTATACAAGGTCCCAGAAGAATTACTAGAATTTGAAACAAGAACCAACACCAGGGGCCACGGCTATAAACTAAAAAACTGCGTTGTAACACATCCATGCGACAACATTTCTTAACGCTTCGAGTCACCGACATGCGGAACAGCCTCCTGATGGCATCGTTGACGCTCCGAGTAAGACGCCTTCAAGAACAGACTAGACAAAGCTATGCAGGAGCATATGTTCAGTCATGAAATGCCTTACACCTTACAAGTCTTACAAGAAGTCCAGCAGCTATCTCAATCAATCGTCAGTTATGGAAAGATCCCTCCAAAAGGCAGGAATCAAGTCACGACAAGTACATGAATCGCCAACAGGCCATGGGCATTTTTCTTCAGTGCCGACACTTCTAATCTATTCTAAATGATGTCCTGCGGAAGGGCGAGTTGCTTGAAAAGTTCGGGTTCATATATTGGCATTTTATGCCAGATGTTGCGGGCGTGTTCGTGGAAGATTGTGTTGATTGTCTGTATATTACATCGTTTTTGAAGAGATTATGAGGTGATGAAATCACAACAGTGGGTATTGGTTATGCATCTGAGGGCTCGGTTTTGTACTATTTGGAGTTTGGATATCGACGACCGGAATAGAGTGTGTAGCGGTACGGTGGGGTAGATTATTGATGACAGGACAAAGGCCATTTATAGTTTGTATTTTAGGCGGGGAGGGAGGTCGCAGAATCTGTGAAGTTTTTATAGGTTGTTTCGGGCTATGTTCCGACGTGAAGTGATTTGTGCGTTGTAGCCGTGAGTTGTCATTTGGAGACCCAGAACGATGCCTTTATTTGCGTGAGGGAAATGCTGGTCTTCCAGGAAGATGTAGGACATGTTCTCACGGGAGCGCAGCCGTACACCACCAGTTTTGTGCACCAATAAGCCCTGAATCGAACGCTTTGGATCGCTTCGGACATCTGCCAATCAGCCGTGAACCACTCGGTTTTGTCCTCCTCCGGCCTTGCATAAAACCTGCCGTGCACCACCAGACCGTGAATCGAATATGACTTCCGGGCATCGTTAAATTGAGTAATTTTACGCTCACCGCATCTATAATATATAATATAGCGGTTTCAGCGTTCATTAGGCCGGAGGCCTGTCACCGATTCTTAACATTGCGGAATATCCACAGTTTTTTGCGGGCTTGAACTCGCAACTCACTGCTTCAAATTTACTCTGCTTAACCGGCCGGCCTCCTTGCCGATTCTGACCAGAAACTGGCGCACAGAGCTGGGATCGAACCAGCAGCTCTCTGCTCAGAATCTCGGTACTCTGAACTTTACCCACTGGGCCACCCTTCCCATCTTCCATAGATTCATTCCACCCATCTGGGGTTAGGTTTCAGCTAGCACAGTTCTGTTCTAAAATTTACCGTTCTTTGACGAGAGGCCGTTCGACCGAAAGCTGGTTCGGCAGGAGCGGCTCACTTTCTGTGTGCCTACAGCCAGCGAAGCGGACGCTAAACTTATACTCTCCACTTTTGATTCGGCAGGAGCGGCTCACTTTCTGTGTGCCTACAGCCAGCGAAGCGGACGCTAAACTTATACTCTCCACTTTTGATATGCTGCTGCTGTATAATCACGTACAGGGGGGTTTGAGGTCAAAGTTTTCACTCGAGCCGTTTTTCCCAGGAGCTCAAACGTTAGAATCTCATGAAAATTGGCACAGAGACGTACGCATATTTTTTCTACCAAACCTTCTTGTCGGATTTCCGAAATTCCCACTCCTTCCCCCCCAAAATCCCCAAAAAAGGGGAAAATTTGGTCAAAAAATTACCTAAAATGAGATTTTTGAAACGATCATAGCTCGAAAAGTTGCAAACTCAGAGCAATGCGATTCATTTCAAACGAAAGGTAAAGGATTGGAATGTGTTTGGGATTTCGAACGTTTTTCTGTCGGGTCAAAACTTCATCCCTAAATTGGGGGTCAAAGTTGACCCTGAAAAAATTGTTTTCGGTCNGCTGTGTTCAGTTCGGTTAGGTTATGTTAGGGTTTTTTGGCTAGGTAAAACTAATGTAAGATTGTTTTAAACACTAATGATACACACAGGAAAAGGCCACAATTGGGGGATTGCTGTGTGTCGTAGGAAATGTGTGGCAAAAAAAAGAAGGAGAGAGAAAAATAAAAAAAAAAATAAAAAAAGTATAGCGGCTGATCTGGTTCGACGCACGGCCTAGATATGATTGTCCAGAAGTGTTGAAGGCTACTTTCCGGAAGGCAGGAATCATGATGGTCCATTACATCCAGGGCAGTGGTGGTCTTCGGCAGGCGACCAGTTCTCACGACTGGTAGGGAGTATTTTGAATTTGGTTCTGTTGGTTTTCATTTTCCACTTCTATGCAAATGCATTGATTTGTTGAATAGCGTGTTTTGTTTGAACTACCCAGTTAACTAAACTGTTAAGATCATCTTGCAGTTGCTTTTTATTTGATGCATCCTTCACTGTATTATAAGCTTTTGGTTATCCGCATGCATGGAGCGTCCGGCTGACACTACTTCTCGCAGATCATTTCTAAAAGCTTGGAACTAAACGGAGAAAGGGAGAGAAGCTTGAACCGTTGTCGAAAGAGGACGTTCCTGTGAACCTCTCTGTTTTTCTTATCATTGTGATTTGTGAAAGTGCTAAACGATCCCTCAATGACTAATACATCTGAGGGTCAAGATCTTATTGATCCTGGTGCTTCACCAAACGCATCAGAGCTGAGTCAGCTGGCAATGACCGATTCGCAACTCAGACATTTTTGCGAAACTGAAATTACTGACGGGAAAGATTCAACTCCTTCCTCATCCCAAGATGGCAACTCACCAGAATGTGGAGCGGCTCGTCGGAAGCGCAAGGGTGCGCCTGCTACCAGTGAAGAAATGTCGGGAGATACAAAGAAGAGGCCCAATGCCGGAATGATCTCAGCTCCTGTTCCCATAGTGGAAACAACTCGAAAGAATACCAATGATGTTGTGGGGTTGGACCATAGTGTCAAAGCACAGATTTTCTAGAATCAGTTCATTTCTAATTTATTTATTTACTCAAGATTTATACCAATTTCTTATGTATAACAATGCTGGTATCCAGGATACTTCTCTGGTCTACTAATTGGACTCAAAAATGAACTTGACGCAGAGTCTAAAAAAGTTTCTGCTTTGCCACTATGGGTTGGACTTGCCCACCGCCACCAGTGCCACCACAACTGATCGACAAGATTCCTGGGTGGTCCTCATCCGCCCAGCAGATGATGGCTCGAAAAG